CAATCCCCAACCTGGAGGACCAGGGTGTAATATCTCTTAGTTCCATCTAATCGGGAAGTAATGCTCCTGTCATGTAGGTTTTGTCATTCTACATGTGCTTGTCTATTGTGCAGGTGCCCATGGTTCTCTTGCTACTGTGTAGTATCTCTTAGTTTACCCAGAGACACAGGGACCCATTATTTCCCCCCCCCCCCCTCCTTTCTTCCCCAGTTGTAAGAAAATGTTCACATTAGTCTGTTTTATTGTGTATAATACACTAATGGATCTTAAAATGAGCTTTGTATTTTATTTTCTACCCCATTTGCCGCCTCACCCACCCTCCCCATAGCTGCGCCTCTGATTTCACCTCCCTCAACGTTGATAGCAGCTTGTGTGTTATTTTTACTCCCAGCACCACTAAATCTCCCGTGTTATTTCGTTTTATCTAGGGGAAACTACAGTCTCATGTAGCCCATTAGAAGAAGCTAATGTTTACAATAAGTCTGTTTGATGGTGCTTTTCTTGCTTGACATTTACATTCACTTTGGCAAGGTGTCTGTTTTTCTGCCCGTTTTGCCAGGGATAAAACGACCCATCTTCAAGCGGAGGTCTGGTCTTAATTAGAAACAGATTCTCTATAAATCTGTAATGTCCGACATTAAGTTAAAGCTTTCTAAAAGATAACGGCTTATTAAGTGTATCACTTTTTATTAGCTCCCCTCTCGTGTTTATTTCATCGTGCTAACTTTATGGCACTGCGTTTTTTTTTAACCGTATTCTGTAAGGATGTTTACAACTGCAGTTTATTCAAGGGAGATAAATCATCTAAGGATTTTTATATTTTCCTTTTTATGTGTTATTTCCCCTTAAAGTAAATGTTAAGAGTATTATTGACCTAATTATAATTCGTTTTTTCCCTTTAAGCAATACAGCATTTTAAAACTATTAATGTAACAATTATATCTGGTTAGAAATTAGCCTGTACTAATATTTTTTATTGCTTAGTATTTTACAAACGTACAGTACCAAATAGTACAACATCACAGTAGAACAACAACAAATAAATAAAGTTGCATTAAGTTATCTCTCAAATGCATGACTTGACAGTTTCTAGTTATTTATCTTGGCAGGCAGGTTTTAAAAAGTCGTATTTAATTACGTCAAAGTTTCACCTACCTTTGAAGGCTGTCTTTTATTTACGTACCTTTGCTTAAGTATTGGAAAAAAAGGAAAAAAACTGGTCTCAAATGTTGATAGATAAAATGATGCCTTGCGTAAGTTTACTGAGAACTTAAGTTTCACTGTACACACACGATGGGACCTCTGCTGAGTACACTTTTAAACCAGTATACCTGTACACTAAACCATTATAAAAGGTTGTGAAAATAGAAGCAGGAGATGGGGTTAGAAGCGAAAACAACGTATTCAAAATAAAAATGGGATAAATTCAATACAAGTAAAGTACACGACTGTTCTAAATATAAATATAACCCTGGATTTGGTGGAAACAAGGATTCTACGACCCCTCCCCCCCCCCCCCCCCACATTAACGTTAATACACAACTACACGCAAATACAGACGATTATTGTTTAAGGGGCTAGTAACAAAACGTTGTATTTCAGATTGTATCCCTTCAAATGTGTTACACTAATGTATGGGGTATATTGTCGTGCTCCCTTACTGTCGTGGTAACCCCGACATCAACGTGTAGGGAACCGCTGGTGCAGATGGCCTCGATATTTTTAACCTTGGCAACACTTTCTATGAGAAATTAGTTCGAGTTTAATTTTCAATTACATTTTGATCCTCTCTTTGTGCATCGAAGCACGATTATATTTATCTTTTTTTTTTTAACGAATGAACAAACCCCCCCCCCCCCCCCCCTCGCATGATTGTCATGGTTAGGTGTGTCATGTGTTACGTTCACTTAACACCATTTACATGATATAATTCCTGACTCATCATTCTAATTAGTAATGTAACAGATGCATCTGGCGGATCAGATGAACAGAAGCTCGACAGTTGGATACCGCTGACCCTAGACCTCCCCTCACCCCTCCTCAGGTTGTGTTTGTTTTTTCGGTTCAGCAGCGGCCAGTTTTAAATATTAACGGTGTTTGCATCCCTGTATGCTGGCACTGTGCCAGTTGTTGCCTGTCTGGTCATGTGATCACTCATGTTGTTGTCTTCTGGGTTTATGTTGTGTTAAGGGCAGCTTCTTGTAAACCATAACAACTGGTTTTGTTTGCAGTGTACTATTTCAGTACATGTATTTTAAAAAATTGAATGCCATTGTATATACACTTGAAGCAAATATGTACTCAGGCCCTAAATGCGTGGTTTTAAGTGTGTGTGTATATATATATATATATATATATATATATATATATATATATATATATATATATATATATATATATAAATGAAGATGTGTATGTATGTATATATGGATGTTTGTATGTATCCAAAACACAAAGGCTAGATCCACATATACCCGTTTAACCCTCGATTGTTTGTCGGAAATGTAAGCTTGAATTGCTACTTGTGCGTATGTATTTTTCTCTCCGGCACAGTTCCCATTACTCGGCACCTATAGCTCAATGTCAGGTATCGATAGCTTGAAGTGGCCTACGGTAGCCATGGCTCCGTGAACTAGGGTAGGGACCATTGTAAGGCTAGGCTCTGGTGGGTCGATATGCTGGACGGTAAGGAATGGCTGCCCACTTACTGCCCTATTACCGTATTCTAAGTGATTTTGTAGATATAGAATGGGGGGGGGGGGGGTGGTGGAAGAATGGAGAACAAAAAGTTTGATCGACCCCCCCCCCCCCTCTCCACAAGTTCATTACTGTTTTCTTATCGCCTTTGTACAAGGGAAGGGAGGGGTTTTAGATAGTCGAATTCTTGTCATTGGTATCTTAATTAAACCTTTTTAAAAAAAAATTGTCACGCTATTAAGAGTTTAATGTCAAATTGTCATGCAGGGGCAATGTAATCATTAACATATTATCCCTTACTCTCCTTTGTTGATGAATGCTAACATAAACAAACAGTGACCTGTTGACCCCCTTGCTGCATGCTCATGCATGGTCATACATTCCTATCCTTACTTAACTGATTGTGTCATAGAGAAATGTAAACCAACTCCCTGTGTGATATATTCTAAACCACTACTAATTAAACAACATTGAATGCATTCATTTATTTTTTTGTCTCTTCTACCTGCCAATATTTTTAACATTTTTTTTTTGTATTGAGAATGTCAGATTTGCATAATTTAAAAGCAGGTGCCTTTAATTCGAATGTCGGCTCCCTGGTCAATGATTTAATTAAATAGGTAGCCATTGATTTAATGAATTATGAGTGAATTCGTTTAATGGTCTAAAAAAAATACTCTATCCGTGGAGGTAATCAAAAGACCTGAGCTATGGGGGACGTCATCTACTTATTCAGGTTCACGACTGTTCCCAGTTTGATGCGAGAGTAGGGAGGGAGGGGGGTTGGACGACTGCCAAGCTGATGTTGGTTAAAGTATGGAAATCGATTGGTCGTTGAAAATGTTGGATGTGGGGGGGGGGGGGGGGGGGAGCTTTTGTTGTGCCCATGCCGGGTTGTGCTGAGGCAAGCTAAATGGATTGACCGGGAATGGGTGCCGTTACATCGAGTACATGGGAGGGGAGGGAGGAGATGGAGGGCTGAAAAAACGTAAACATCGCTGCAGATAGATGGCATGATACGTGGACACTTAAAAGGACAAGGGTCACTCCCTCAAGATCACACTAAAAAAACAGGTGTCACACCAAGATCACACAAAAAACAGGGGTCACACCAAGATCACACAAAAAACAGGGATCACACCAAGATCACACAAAAAACAGGTGTCACACCAAGATCACACAAAAAACAGGTGTCACACCAAGATCACACAAAAAACAGGTGTCACACCAAGATCACACAAAAAACAGGTGTCACACCAAGATCACAAAAAACAGTGGTCACACCAAGATCACACTAAAACGACAAGGGTCACACCAAGATCACACAAAAAACAGTGGTCACACCAAGATCACACTAAAACGACAGGGGTCACACCAAGATCTCACAAAAAAACAGATCACAAAAGGACAAGGTTCACACCAAGATCACGCTAAAAAGACGGGGGACACACCATGATCACACAAATAATAACTTCAAATAAGACAGTGGACACATTTATGACAGGACACATCTAAGAAATAGCAAAACTAGGATCTAAGACCAGATTTAGAACTCTTACTAGGACTCTTGAAGACGGGTTGGGGAATATCAAAATGGAACATAACTATGAAATGCCTAAACATTGGTAACTGGGGTGCATAAGGACATCTGAAACAATATGCGCTAGGCTATGATACAGGTAGTACACGCAACAACATGTGATCACGTGTGGACTTTTAAACCGGGACAGATCTAGGACACCAAGACAGGACAACCAAAAACAAGACATGGAAACAGAACTAAGGATAATAATAAACTACCCAACTAAACAGTACATAACTAACTAAACAAAACTAAACACCTTAGACTTGATCTCTACAGAACTAAACACAATTCATAACACTAGGTTGGTCGTTTTTTTTTTCCTAAACTAACTCGGGTCTTGTCCTTTAAAATATTTTTTAAAGAATTCAGCCTTGACTATGACTAACTCTGGAATTAAATGTATTGTTTTTTTAATTACATGTTGTAAATAAACGGTATTAACGTTGGGCGTATAATGTTAGGCTTATACGGCTTTATTGAACACAATGTATATAATAAATGTTTAACCTACTGAAATATATGTGCATTATTAACTGGAACAAAACGAAAGTTAAGTTACTTTTTATGTTGATTACATTATTTCGATGTTTTATTCAGGGCAAGCTAAGGTGAGTAATGTTATGGTTTAATGCAACGTGTGGCTAAATGAAATATGTACTGAGTCATTGTGAATTATCTTTGTCTTTAAGTTAATTCTGTTTTTTTTCTCTTTACCCAGTGGCGGCAGTACTGTAGCTATAGACAACAAGATAGAACAAGCAATGGTAAGTCATTGTTGTTGTTACTTTCTCTTTCTTGTCTTCTCTGTACAAATGAATATATTAGTGTCTTTGGTTGTTTTTTTTAACTCTCGCATCTATATTTTCCTCGACTTTTTTTCTCCAATTTTTTTTCACACTATTATTTTCCTTTATAATACAGTACTGTCAGTTTCTGATTATCAGGGCCCTCTTAGATCCTCTTCCATCTCAGCAATCACACGATCAGATCATCCGTTTCTCATCGATCAACTCTCACTCATCCCCACTCGCACCCATCCAAACACCCCTGTTTCAGTAATAGAGATATTTTCTCCAACCCCATACACTCACCCCTCCCTCAAGACATTTCGTTACCCCCGGCTCCTCTCTGTTGTCCCCCAACCTCACTCTTTTTTTTTCACTTCAACCCCTGCAACCCCCCCCCCCCCCCACACACACACACACAACACACACACTTTATTGTCATCTTCTTGTTCCAACATTTTCTATCACCCACAACTCATTGTTGCCCCCCCCCTCTTCCCCCGCAGCTCTTGACGTCAACACCCACCCCTTCCTGTCCACCCCTCCCTCCAACTATTTTGCCACCCCCACCCGACTGCTGTCACCCATCCCCTCTCTCCCCCACACCCATAGCCTAGTTCACCTGCAAGTACTGAACATGTTCCACCTAAACTCTTGGTATTTCTGTCAGTTGACATTCGCCTACCTCCCTTATTGGTCCCAGTCAAACACAGTGCGCCTCTACTACCTACCCCAAACTCCTCTTAGATCTCCCCCACGTCATGCGTCAAACGGAGGTGGGTGGGGGGTGGCTCGACCAAATTTAGAAAATATTTTAGCAGGAGAAGAAACACGGTTAAATCTGGTCTTACCTTTTTTAATCCTCTGTAAAACTTTGCCCTCAGGTAGGAAAGAGAGGAATTAATTTGTCCAGATGTAAGGATAAAGTTGCGTGTTTGCTTAGGGGAGCTGGGGGGGGGGGGGGGGGAGGGGGTGCTGCGTCGTCTTGTGTGGCATCATAGCCTAACATTACAAAAATGAATTATTCAATCTTTGAACGTCCTTCACATTATTTCGTCTGTGAGGCTTTAAAATAATAACTAACTGAACGATAAAAACCAATCCATGAACCGCCTTCATAGTGTTTTGTGTGTGTCATCGAAGCTTAACAAAATTGCATTGTATAATCTACACCGAAGCTTAACAAAATTGCATTATAATTACATTCACAGCTTCTCGGCTGTGAGGCTTAAAAAAATAATTACTAAAAAAACAATACATGAGCTACCTTCATGTTATGTTGTCGAGGCTTTAAAAAAATAACAATTGATCTATAAAATCAATTCGTGAACTGCCTTTAGGGGCCACCATTTATGACGTCCACATTTTTATTTTATTTTGGACCAACCCCCCCCCCCCCCCCCAAAAAAAAATCCACTTATTTCCCTTATAAAAGTCCATACGCGTATTTTTTCGGAACCCTTCTTCCCCCCCCCCCCCCCCCCGTCATAAATGGATGACCCCTTATCAAACCCTACCAAAATTTAAAATGACTATCTAGGAGCTAGCCTGTGGCCACGAATTTATTATATATTTACCCAACACCACGATCTCAGCGTAATTAAAATCAATCGCTTAATCCACTAATCAGTCTTGTTGCACAGGAAACACAACACTAGCAGCTGCAGGTGAGTTGACCTACCTGCGACGTGCTGTTAACACGGGTGGAGCTTTGTTAACTTAAGTTAACACTAGAGTTTGAATGTTAGCCTTCGTAGGTAATCAAGCTAATTTCATTTACCCTGTCTAGTATTTTGAGAGGAATTATACAGCTTTGTTTTATATGGGTATTTATGTAGGAAAATAATTGCTGTAACAATACGTGATGTTTTTGGTTTTTTTTTTGTATGCCTACTTCAAAAGGATGGTAATGGTATTTCTACAAGCGCGATCGCAAAGATTGGCTTTGTAGTATTTTTGTGACTGCTAAAGCTTGCATCTAAAGGTTTGATGTATTGCAGACACCACTTTTTTAATTGGAGGTAGGACCAGAAGGGCGTAGCGAGTTGTGGGGGTGGGGGGATATTCCAGCTAACCGAATTTATAACAAGGGTGCATACATATTCCTGCTAGCCTAATTTATAATCATGGGGTAGATATTCCAGCTAGCCGTATTTATAACAAGGGTGCATACATATTCCTGCTAGCCTAATTTATAATCATGGGGTAGATATTCCAGCTAGCCGTATTTATAACAAGGGTGCATACATATTCCTGCTAGCCTAATTTATAATCATGGGGTAGATATTCCAGCTAGCCGTATTTATAACAATTGGGGGGGGGGGGGGGGCAGGTATATATTTCCGCTAGTCGAATTAACGACAGGATTACGGCATATTGATTAACTATTGGGTGGCACGTGCACCACTGTAATTATTATAGATGTGAAAACAGCCTGCTAAAAAAAAAGATTGCTGTCCATGGGTTATCTGAACTTGTTTGATGTCAATCTTTGGGCCACATCATGTTTGATGTCAGTCTGTGGGCCACATCATGTTTGATGTCAGTCTGTGGGCCACATCATGTTTGATGTCACTGTATGGAACACATCATGTTTGATGTCACTGTATGAGCCACATCATGTTTGATGTCACTTTATGAGCCACCTCGTGTTAGATGTCACCAAGTACACACGAGTCCTGTCCGCCATGTTTGAGTGTCACAAGTGCTTGACCACCGCCTAGTGTGACAGTGACGCAACAGCTCAGCTTGTATCTATTTATAGAAGGGTCGCGTTGGTTGGGTAAGCTCGTGCGACTCCGTGAGTCAGTGTGGTGTTAACAGCACTGCCCTTGGTGTGCGAGTAATTAACACTTATGATGAATCTGTTAAGTGCTGGATGAGTACCGTGTTTGGGTGGAAAAACCGAACTTCTGACACGCACGTGAGCTTTAAAAAACCCTCAATACGACCCATCCAAGTCTTCCTTTTATATTTCTTTGATGATGTTGTTTTCAAGCTCTAACTCTAAACACGTATTTACCAAAAATTAGGATTGTAGGTGGGGGTTAGCTTAGAGCTATATGTAGTACAGTATAGTGATTTGTCTGTTAAAAAATATTAATTGAATGTGTCGTATTGCTGATGACTATTCTTCTGATTCTTGAACCCTAACCTACCAACGTTGGCGGTGTGTAGAGGTGCGGCTACACAAAAAAAAAAAGGTTATTTTTATTTTCTAGTTTATTTCTCTGTAGCTTTGTACGCTGTCCGTCTTTTGATGTCATTTGTACGTGAACTCGTTATGAAAATGTATGTTAAGATATTTCCACTGAGTTGAATGCCTACAGCTGTTTTGTTTTTTGTCCAAATTTCTCATCTTGTATTTATTTGGTACAGATAATGATAGTACAGAAAGACCCGGTCCGGTTTTTTGCAGTCACTGAACTTTAAAAGTTGTTGTTTGCACATGCAGCGGTAGAAAATAGGGCACCGGCGCCATATTGGCTGGTGGAAACGTACCCTCTAACCCAGCTCAGCTGTTCCCCTCGGCACCCCCCCCCCCCCCCTCCTCTCGCGGTAAATATTTCCTTTTGTTTGACCCACTGACACGATATATGCTTATTGTAAAAGTCAGGCATTGAACTCGGTTGTACATTGCAACTGGATCAAATACCGTGGCGTATTGATATAATAAGCTGTGGTATTTCCTCTCACGTTTCTTACGTAAGACAATTCTGCATAATAAAACAGGACAAGGGAATGACAAGGCTACGTTAAATATAGCACAGGGGCAATGCTAGACTTGTGCACGGTGTTTGTCTTGAATAGATGCCTATTTTTTTAATTAATACACCATGTTGCATATATAAAATACCTGCTCTTCTATGTAATTAAATGCAGTGCATGCATTCGGTTTCTTTAAATGAGAAAAAAAATATTTCGTCTGGTCTGGTCTAAACACTTGTCCATTGTATTAAAGTCTATTTTCTCCGTTTTAACACAGATACTCTGTTTGTGTTATCTGGAAATAATAGCGTGTTTAGTTTCGAATTTTTTAAACGGATAAAAAGACGTAACAACGGTGTTGTTGATAGAAGTGGAGACCCGAGGCGAAGATTTCCACTGTTATTTTTTTCGCTGAGATCTGGGTCACGGAGCTAACGTTTGCCTCGCTTCCGCGGCGCACACTTTTTTGTACTGCTAGCATCAAGGTCACGTGGCCGACTGTCAGCAGCGTGGGGTAGCAAGGTCGCTGCAAGTGTTCCCATTACGTGACAGCGGTGTGCACGATTGGTGCGACAGCGGTGTGCACGATTGGTGCTGTTGGGCGCTGGATTGAACCGAGCCATCTCAGAATAACTACACACTTAAATATAACCGTTTCCTGTGTCTGAGTGTGGTGTTTTATGAAATTGTTTGGCAATTAAAGATGGATGCGTTACCTGTCGGTCTAGAGTATTACCCTGTTGACATTATACAGAAGCGTTTTTGTTGACAGATCAATGTTGTTATTGTTGTTTACGTGGTAGAGTTAGAACAGATGTTTGTTGACGTGGTGATTTTTTTGTATGCGTATGTTTACATGATACGGGTGGAAAACTTCTACTAGAAATAGGATATCGGAATGTCTTGGGGGGGTCTAGGAGAACAAACCAACACGTGATGTCCGGTTCTTCAAACACAGATCTCTGATGTAGGCTTGACGTAAGTGTAACCTGCTCCCCACTTGAAGGCTGGGGATAGCTATTCTATCACCGTCGGTGGTTCCACTGTTCCCGTCCGTACCGCCGTTCCAGTTAGATTAACGTGACAGATAGCTGCACTTTTGCATCTGGAGTACCGGATGGCTGGCGTGTAACGGTTGACGGGGTTGGCGTGTAACGGTGGACAGGGTTGGCGTACAATGGTTGACAGGCGAGGCTCGCGCTGGTTGACTAATCGTGTTTGTGGCGGCCATAAAATGATTAGCGCACACTATTTGTATAGCTGCCAGTTTC